TACTGAGTTATAAATAAATTATTGGAGTGACTAATGAAAGTCTGGACTGGACAATGGGTCTGTGAAACTTTAGGTATTAATCCACATTAATTTCATATAAAATCAAAGAACTCCAGGAAATCCCTGTACAACAGCATTTAATTTAGATTTATTTCCAAATGGTGACAGTCACCAGTTCATATTAACCACTAATCATTATGATGGATTTCTCTAGACTTCTGAAAGACTTGGCAGCGTCTGTAGATGATGTGAGAAGATTCCATTCTCTCCCACTGTTAGGCCTGGCTTATTCTTTACCGTGTCATGTGTGGAATAAATTAGATATCTTAATGAAGGAATGGATCAGAGCCGACACCTCTCTTCTCCCTGTGATTGTTTTAATGATGGCAAAAAAAGAAAAGTCACAAGTTTATATAACGAATCTCCTGCAGAGAGGAGAAGGGCAAACATTTCTTTCAAAATGTTCATTTCATGCTGGCACTCATATTAAAAACTATACCCCACAACCCTGAATACTAAAAATTCCCTTTTTGTGAGGTTTAAAGCAGGTTTAAAACACACTGTTATTTCTCCAGTCCATACAGTCTATAACGACAGTGAAAACACTTTCATTTCAGTGTATTGTTTTTGGGATGCCACAGAAGCCAAAATGCCTTTTCATCCAGTTTAACTCTGCCTAGTCATGCTGAAGTTGTACAAAGTGTTTCAGCCTGGACTGCTTTTGGCAATATCAGAGCAGAACAGAGAACTGATTAAGCGATTAAGAAAGGTTTGGAAGATGGTCATGCAAAAACTATGACCAGTTTTCAGTACATAAAGCCATACAAAAAGTGGACCTTGGGGAAAAAAAAACAAAAAAACATAACCTGTAGGTTTTGAGCTCTTTGAAATAACTCTTACATTAATATAATTGTTTGGCTGTCTTGGCTCGATGTGGCCGGATACAACATGGTTGTACAAACCTAAATTACGAAAAATTGTGACATTATGTGAAATGCTAATAAAAGTAATTTGTAATTTCTTTTTGACCTGTATTAAATTAAAGACATTACCAAAACACAATATGTTTGTGAATTGTGTTTTAGGCATCAGTTTTAGAATGAGTGCATATTTACCAAAAAAAAAAAAAAGTTGATAAAACATTAAATACCTTGTCTTACCTTGTCTTGTCAATTTCAGTTAAAATACAGGTCAAAGTGAATTTACAAATCACTGCTTTCTGCTATCATTTATTTATTTATTTATTGGGATTTCTCATACTGTCCCAACTTTTTTGGAACTGAGGTTTGCACTATAGCTCCCAGTGCTGCTGTCAGTGTCCTGTCTGAAACACTGTATAAAACTGTGTGTGGATTTAAATGGATTAGAACGCAAGGCAAAAGCAAGTGTGAATGATGAAAGAGCTGTACTCATTTTGATCATTATTCCATGTGAAAGCGATTGATCAGTTTTTCCTGTGTTGGATAGAGAGGTCAAAAAGGCAAAGAGGCAGCAAAAGATTTCCAAGCAGCTTGCTCTCACTTTTCCCTCCTTTAAAGTTTTTGTACAGATAATTAGACCCAAAGGGCATTGAGTGAAGTGAACTATTTCCCTCTTCATCACTCAGCAGATACATTGCATCAGCAGCTTACACACACACACACACACACACACACAAACCATAGCATGAAAGGTAGAGAAGTGAAACACTGTATTACAGTATTCTAACTACAGAGTATACAGTTTCATTAATAAAGAATATTTAACAAGTAAGCATTATTTTATCATATATGTAGTAAACATGCAATATCAAAGATTAATTAACTGTAATTATTTCTGGGTAATTACATACTTGAATTCCTCATCTTGTTATGTAAAAGCATGAAGCATCACATTGACAACTTTCATAATCTCATGAGCTTTATTATCAAGAAATGCAGCTTTTTGTTTGCCTTTTATTTCAAACAGTGCAATTGCATTGTTGATGCTCAAAATATTAAATGCATCATTCACAGGAATGAAGCGTCTAATACATCATATTTATCTCAACAAGTAAATGTTTGTGTGAAAAATACAATGTTACAATGAAAATGTAAATGTTATTGAGTTTGCTATTAATAAATATTTTAGAGTTTGGGATTCTTTGAAGAGCATTTAGACCAAGTGTCCATAGCTTGGTCCAGTCATAAATTACATCTTCTGTGTTTATGCCAGGTCATCCTGTTTTCTTTTTCTGCATCTTAAGGGGACAGTGATCTCCTCTTGAAAATAAAGTACTGTTTGAGGGAACTGTGAAGTTTGTGATTTGGAGATTTGATAGATTATAATATGACTGTGATTCACTAATTGTTAAGAATAATGGGCCTCATTCACCGACCTTTCTTAAGAAGAAATTTCCCCTTTATACCCACCTAAGCAGTTTTCAAGAAGATTCTGACATTCACCAATGTTTTCTTTTTTGAGATTTGTTCTTATGGTAAGTATCTACACACACTCAAGAGCGCAAAGGTGCAAACAGTTCTGTGCTTTAAGAACAAGTCATGAATCTGCTGCAGACTTTTTCTTAGGACCTTCCTCAAGACCAAACTTGGGAAGATATTGGTGAATGAGGCCCAATGTATTTACTGAATTTAATGGAATGTAGTAAGAGCAGTTGATATAAAATGCTTCTGGCCTTTCGAATATGATGCAATTCAAATGCAATTTTGCAGTTTAGGGGCCAGACGGTTTATGGAAAATGTGGAACTTGACTCAAATGCGTTAAGGCAGTCATATTCCTTTAGCTTGGTGGATTGTGCATTACAGTTCACTTTCAAAACAAGAGAACCCTTACATTTATTTCCTAGAATGCGTACGGAGTGTAGGTTGACGGATTGATTTTTCTGCATTTTAGCCCTGTCTGTGTACTGACATGTCGAGGCAGAGTGGGTGGCTGTCAGTAGAAAGCGGAGGCAGGGTTTTGAGGAGGCAGCTAATGTAGAAAGACTAAACAGGCTGCCCGTCAGTTTACACCCACTTGTATTAAACATGCAGATGTCATTAGAGTTAATTGTAATAAAGGGCATTAAGCAGACACATGTTTTTCTACACTTAATAATTTCTTGTTTATCTAATTAGCAAAGCCAGAGAGCTTTCAGGTAACCTAGCATGGATTACAGCATGACACAGTTGTAGGGGATTGCTATGGCTAAAAAAAACAAAAACAAGCCAAAAAATAAAAACCCTTGGTATTACTGCTGGGTATCTGAGCTGACAGTTTCTGACAAGATGAGTCCGAAGAGCCTGGCACACATTAGCATATTCAAACTGTCTCCGCAGAGCTGTCAGCAACCATGGGCTGAGGGGAGAGTGCAATGTGGAGGTGCATCCCAGGAGACTCCTGCTTTTCAGTGCACATCAGATCTCTGTGCTCATCAATATGTACATGTAACCTAAGGCTTGCATTAACCCAAACAGTCTATTATTTATGGCAGCCATGTGAAGAAACAGTAGGGCACCTGACTGAGGGCTGAGGAATTTCCCCACAATGGCTATTCATTCAGGTGAAGGGGTAGATCTGTCTTTTTTGCTGTCATAGTTGTGTATTTACTTGAACGATGAACAGCTTCGGATATACGGTCAGAATATTGTTGCTGTCATATCAAAACCTTGTAAATCTATCTCTTTCCCCCTATTTGTTTTTTTGACTCTGTTTGAAAATGTCAGATACCTTTTACCTGGTCTGAACATTGCATGATGATTAGACCAATAGAAATCACACAAATTTACATGGAATAAAATCTCTCAACATTAAAGCTAAAAATGTATTTTCACCTCTTCTAAAGTTACCAGTTCAACAACACAAGGTTTTATGTCAGCAGTGATATTATAAGGTTCTTAAGCCTACCAGTCATTAATCAGTGGGGAACCCTCAGACCTTCAGAGATTACCTAACAATTACCACAAAATAAAAAATACAAGTTTGTATTTTTTACTTAATTGTTATTTAATATATCATCATTTTGTTGTATTTAAAGGGGACTTATTATGCTTCTCCATTTTCCTTTTTATTTAGTGTGTTATAAGGCGTTTAGGGCATGCAAATGGTCTGCAAAGCCACTAAGCTCAAAGTACACACCAGAGGGAGTAACTTTCTCCCTCAGAAACCATTTCTCTCAGCTGCCTGAAACACCTTGGAATTCCAGCCCTTTTCTTTGTTACAAGATGGCACAATCTCAAAACACAATCCTTATTGTGGAAAAATCCTTATTGTGGAAAAATAGCCACTCTGGTGTTTACAGCTGCTCAGGAGAGAAGGATCTGTCTGCAGACTACAAGACTGGGGTGGAACATCTAGGGGCAGAACCACTCTGGTGGTTGACCAGTCAGAACAGAGTGGGCGAGCTGACCAATCAGAGCACACTGGGCACATCAGGAGATGGGGCTTAAAGACACAGTAGCTCTAACAGAGTGTTTCAGACAGAGGGTGAATAGAGATGTACGATATGGGAAAAATGATGTGCTTTTGGAACACTGAAGCATATAAATCTATTCTAGTAGACCACAAAAATAAAATTATAAACATTGAAGATGAGCATACCATGACCTCTTTAAAATCTGCAAGCAGTAATATTCATATTTTATGGTCAAGTTGTGGCTGGAAACAAAAGGGTTAGATTCTTGACAAACCCATCAAATTACCAAATGATGATTTATTTTCTCTCGGTAGATACAGCCAAGTGAGCTCTCTCATTGGTTAGGAGCTGGACAGAAGGCCTAAATATTTGTTACAAGCTTCAAATAAAACATGAAATGTTTTTTTACAAGCTTCAAATATATGTGTTCAATCTAGAATGGCCAAAAAAGGTTAATGTGAATTAGTATTAGATTGGTACTAACATACTACTAGAATCCCATAGGGGCATTTGCAGATATGGGCATTGTCATAGAGGTGTTTTTCCCCATTTTTGAGCAAAGTTAGCTCTAACAGTAACAGTTCTCCACTGCGATTAATCTCAAATTGAGAGGAAAATGCAAAGACATAATATTGTGGAACAAATGTTTAATCAAAAGAATATGTTGTAACAAAAGAATAGTTTGCTGTATGGCTTTTCACAAACCTCAGCATCTAAACTCATCCATTTTAATTTGTGATATTTTTTTTCACTTCTTGTTCTGTAATGATGACATTAAAATTTGTTAATAACTTCACAAGTTGTGTGTAAACAATATTCATGGTTTTTACATGGAAATGGATAAGCAGGCAGATTCAAATGGGATGAGTAGAGGGTGATTCCAAGAACTTCAAATCAGACAGTAAAAATAGTCCATCCCATTACCTGAAAAAATAAGTACATTATGAGTATATGTTTCATGTATGGTATATTACAATAACATATATTGGCGTGATGGAATAACATCTATATGAAATAAACTGTCATATATTTATACACATTGCTATTGTGAGACATGGTCATCGATCTGACTCTGATCTCTGAGGAGTTCTCTATGAGAGCCCACTACAGGACTGGAGCTGTGCAGTGGCATTACTAGGACTCTCTTTGTGCCCCTTCTAGCCTTCTCCATGGCAACCCAGTCTAAAGTACATCTGTGAGAGAACATGATGTGTGCTTATGGCTTCTTCAGGGTTTAGCCCCACCTCTTCTGATAGAAGGAAAACAGCTGGCAGACAAAATAAGACATCCAAGAGCCAGGATCTCTCCTTCAGGAGCTTTCTTCCCTGTAGCTGGGGAAGAGTCATTTAATGTCCGTAATTAGGGAGGATTAATCTCCATGGTAACAAGTGGACTTCAGCCGATTACTGAATGCCTCTGACATTAAGATTTCTTGGAGAACAACACAGATAGAAATGAGATTCAGCTCTGGAATACGGAGAGCTTGGTGGAAGAAGGTGCCTGGCACAACATAACGCTTTGCTTCTGCAATCCATTGTGTTTTGGCAGTGCTTTTTCACAAGTCATTAATGTTTAGATATGCAGCGTTTGATCAGAAATTCTCCTTTGTTGTCTTTATGACATGAACGTTGAGATTGCTGTGGAATAAATGTGAGGTGTAGCTATGAAAGATCATTCTTTAATCATAATAGATAATGAACCGTTAATTTAAATAGAAATCTTCTTCATATATCAAGCAAAAACCCTTTGCCAGCAAAATAAGTACGCTCGTTCTTGTTGTGTAAAAGCTTAAAATAATGCTACAGCAGTGACCTGATTCCCTTTAATGTTTAAAGATTTGCGGTCCCTTCATCCAAATAATTGAGCAGCACTTCTCTTAATTGCTTCTCATATCTCCAGGGAACATTTAAGTAGGTCCAATCCTTAAAGCCCATTTAATTCCTTTGAACATCCTCTAAACACAAGGACACTGCTCACTAATGCATTGAGGTTGGAGGCTTCCAGATTGTTGGAAGGAAAGTTTTGATGGCAGAGACTGGTTTAGTTGAGACCTGAAAACAATATCTCTGCCGGTATACGGTATGTATAATTTAACACTGCCCTCATCCTCAGCCTCGAGAGTTCAGCTGCAGTGAAGTCTCTTTGAACAGAGAGATCAGAAAGTGAATGCGTAAACCACTCCCACCACCACAATGTTCCCAATGGTGGCAACGATGGCGATCCACAGCCAGATAGCATCGCTGGACATGTGCTGCTGCTCATCGTGCTGCGTCTGCACTGAGGCTGTGGGGGCCGCGTTCACGCTGGCAGACGAGTTGAAGAGGGAATGCTCGATGCTGTAGTCGTCATTGGGTGAGGAGTCCATGAAAGCTCCTGTCATAACCGGGATCTGTGCAACAGAAAAGTTCATTATTTTATAGCCATGAAATAGAGTATCAGAGCTTTAGATTAAGTTCACATGATCACTGGGCTCAGAAGATGAATTTCAAGATTAAAATGTGCTTTCTGGAAAAATGTGTTCTTCAGCGGTTCTTTAGTAAATGCAGTGGTAATATTTCAAACCATGACAACTCAATGATTCTTTGCAGTTCAAGAAATTGTTCTTTTTCAAGTCTGCTGTTCAAATTGTGCTACAATTGCCACCACAAGGTTGGAGTCATTTTTTGCTATAAAGCAGTTGCCAAGGGTCCCTGTGCCACCAGGGGGTCCAGAGTATGTACTTTGTAAGATTTATTCAACTTTGTTCGTAGAAACAGCACAGTGAGTACAGAGGTTTTCTTATTTTTTCCTGATGAACCCCTTAAATGGCCGGGACCTACCTGTGGGTCCAAACTTAGCCAGTTTGCATTGTCGTCCATGTAGTTATTGAATAATAAGACTTAGTAAGTAACAAACCTGGGATTTAAGAAGGTAAAATTAATTAAGTTTTAATTCTTTTTTTATTCTTGCATTCAAAATTTGATTGGGGTATGTGGAGGGGCCCCCAATTGTTTGTCACTTAAGGCCGACAATGGTTCACAAAGAACCTAATTATGATAGTCAGATATTATATTCTCTACTGCATCTATTATTATTATGATTAGGTCTCATCATTATTGTCATGCGAAATCTTCATGAAGGCGAAACCACTGTACATATTTTTAAAGAACTTTAACTCCTAGTAACCATAAAATGCATTTTCTGCCTGTTATGATTTTTTTTTCTTCAATAGCATTGATGGAATATGTATACCATGGAAATTTCTGTCACACAAGGACTCCAGTTCCCAGAACCCCTTTGGATGATCATGTGACTCTGACTCCACAACACACAACCTATCCGAACTATGAACTATGTTGTTGCATTTATTTATATATGTAAAAAGCAAATCTTATAAAGCTAGTTTTATTTAGCTGTTGTCACAAACTACCTTTTTGAACAAGAAAATTAAGTGGCAATATGCAATAGTGCATCCAACAATAAAGAAAATCTTGTGCATCTTTTAAACAGTGATAGAAATCACAGAAACAAGTAGAAAGTGCTAATTTCACATGCTGACATGTTTCTCGCTTATCAGTGTGAACATGCATGCAGTGTAACTCCTCTGGCAACAGATTTAAACAAGTTAAAGAGGTCACTCTGTTCGACAGGGTTAAATGCTATTTTTCACTGCGGAGTGATGTGAATTGTTTTCATAGCAGGGGGTTCTCATTCCTTCTCCTTTTAACCCCTCATTGCTCACTAGCAGCTCAACACAGTCACTAGATTTTACACACAGGGAGCCGATAATGTCCTACTTATGTTATGGGGTAAAATATTTTATTTGATTATATTATTAAAAATATTGAGTCGATATCCATTCTGCCAGTGGAATGGCCACTAGGAGACCTATAGCATACTTTAGAGAACCCTTTTTTGCAAAGATTGATTGCTTTTCCTCTTGCTTGTATTGTCTATGTACTACAGCATTGATTAATACAACCGAGCTGTGTTTAAAGAGATTAAATTTAAGGAGTTAATTGACTCCTTCACATGCCAGAATACATTAACTCAAGGACATTCAAGAGCTTCTCAGACATTTTACTGTGCCTTCAGAAAGAAAAAAAAATCACTTTTCCAAAAGCATTTCCATATGCACATTAAACAGCATATTTAACCATTATTTGAACTGTTGCACGACATCCTTTGCAAATGAGAATGAATGTTTTATACCCCTGGCATATATTCCCACACATCTGAGGAAGTAGGGCTTAATTAATGTGTAATAAATATTTAAAGAGGGGCAAGTTAAAATGATTTATTGGTTAAGACAATTAGTGCCCTAAGACAGGCTGGCTGGCAGAGCACAAGCATCCTCTCATATCCACTGTACATACAGTATGAGGCTGCCTAGCACATGAATATGCTCAGAATAGCACACGGACAGACTGCTCTTGTCAAAGGGGAGGCTCCAAACAATGATAAAATTACAGCTGAGGCGTGACAACAGACATAGAGCTGAATAGGAACCTTCATTCAACCTGCAGCTTCATAGCAGGATAGAAAGAGACAGGAACAAATATGCTTGGACCTGGGGGTAAGAAGGCCAAAGTGTGGGTTTGAGTTAACTTTTGAATTAAAAAAAAAAAGGAATGCTGATATGGAAAGTTTTCTGGCAATGAAATGGGTGACTCATCACCCTATTTTAAGGCATTGCATGAAAAGAATGATAGCAGCCTTAGATGGTTATTTGTATTCCTGTCATGTTTTTATGACTTGTGGCCAGTATAATATTGAAGAAGAGAGAAAATACAATTAGCCTGTGATGTATACAGCATGTAGGTTTGATGTTGCACTTCTCTATATAAATTGAGCTGTTATTTTACTTTATTTTTGTTTTACTGTAGATACAATGGACACTAAATTTAGACACTGTGAACAGTTGTTGTTGTTATGACATTGCAGAATAAAGTCAAATCAAGCACTGTCTCCAGAGCTCTATTGCAGAAGTATATGTACTAGCTCTAACTGATGGCTGTTATCAACCATAACTAGGTTGTCTTGCATACACAGTAACTGCAGACGTGTCTTGTAATTGTAATGCCTTCATTATCATGCTGATTGGTCGTGAACAAGAAGAATAATTTTACTTCTAAGCTTCTCTCTATTAAAAGGGTATTTATAATGGACTGCATTGCCAGAGAAGAACTCATAGGACTAATGTATTGATTTCTGTCTAACAATAATTGCTGTAGGTTGATAACTGCACTTTAATGGTGGCACAAATAAACAACAGACAGAAACTATTGTTCATGTAGAATCTTTACAGACATTTTCCCTCAATGTAATCTTTTAATATCACTTGAATATCACTGCCACCTAAAAGGTAATTCTCTAATATCACTGGTACATAAAATAAATGCTCTTATGCATTTTAAATTGTAAAGATGGCTTTGTTTTCTGGACAAATAATGTAAGATCTCTAATTTTAGTGGCTAAAAAGAGCAACAAAATACTGCAAGTGGCTTAACATAGTTGATCAAAAAAAAAAAGGCTTTGGTGAGGCCAAGGCCAAGGACTCAACTCAATTCAACTCAACTCAGCCTAACTCAACTCAGTTCAACTCAGCTAAATTAAACTCAGCTCAGTCCAACTCAGCCCAACTCAGTTCAGCCCAACTCAGTTCAGCTCAACTCAACTCAGCTCAACTCAGCTCAGCTCAGCTCAGCTCAGCTCAACTCAATTCAATCCAGCTCAGCTCAGCTAAACTTAGCCCAACTCAGTTCACTTCAGCTCAACTCAACTCAGCTCAATTCAACTCAATCCAACTCAGCTCAGCTAAAATCAGCCCAACACAACTCAGCTCAACTCAACTGAGTCCAACTCATCTTAACTCAGCTTAACTCAACTCAACTCAGCTTTAAGCCTTGGATGCACTACACAACTTTTAAAGTCCTAACAGATTATAAAAAGATGGTATCTCACACTATTTGACTGCAGATTTTTTGGGTGACTGAAATATTGAGGATCACACATTAAACACCTTGGGATCACACACTACACAACATTTAAGTTGTTGCTCAACTGAACCAAACTCATCAAACACACACATGTGACTAGGAGATGCAAATAAACAAACATGGACCAGCTTGATGCTTCTACTGTCTTCACTGCTGACACAATATATAACTCAACTCAACTTATTTCAGTTCAATAACCTTCTGAGCCATGACTTGTGTTTATGTACTTCATCAGGTTAATATTACTGCAATGCTGATTTTACTCTCACCATAAAGTGTCTTTAACAAGATTTGGAAAATCTGAACAGTGAAATAAATCTTTGTCAGTTACTGACATCCAGTGCCAGTGTTCACATTTGGCAGATTAATCTCTTATTCAACTTGCCCCACTCTAGACTTCTTGTAATGCCCAGAACTTTTCTCAATAGTCAGATGAGTGGCCAGACATTTCATGGAGAGGAAATTAAAACTCTGCATGAGGGCATCCCAAAGCACCTCTGCATTTAAGCAAGGGATCAAAATAGGTCGCAGCCATTTAAAGTGCTTTTAGGTAGTGAGTCCCCAGAATGTGTTTGAATGATTGGTTGGCTAATAGAGACATTAAAGCTCTCACAGTGCATTAAAAGGGCTACTCCACTTTTTTCATCCAGCTGTAACACTTGCTGGGGCATAAGACACATAAGGTGAATCGCATGGGTTTTTAAGTTCTAATGAAAATTTTCATATTGTAAAATGATATACAATGTGTTTAAACTACACTCAGTTGTAGTGCCTATAAGAGTTCAAAACTGAATTCATGAAAGCAAAAGAGTTACTGAGGAGCACCCTGGGTATTTTAGCTGCAGAGAGCAAATGAGACATCATCTGGAAAGGAGTGTATTGCATTTATATATATACTGACATGTTAACAATTAAAATTAACAAGCGTTTTTACATCCTACCACACTGTGTGGCTTGTATAAAAATGTTGAGTACACCCAGTATACCACAAGTTTGGATCAAGGTGACAAGAGCACAGGATCTAAGTTACTTTGCAGGAGGGTCCATTGTTGGGGCACTGATGACAGCAGCTTCAGTCACAAAGACTGCTTAACTGGGTAGTATTTCAATTGGAACTGTGAACAAAGTGATACCTGCATTTAGATCTATGGAAAAGACACCAGTAAATAGGGCTGGACATTGTCGTTGAAAGTATACATTCAATGACTCTGATGCTTGTCAATTTGTAAGGAAAAAACAGAAGAGCTACTGTTCCTCAGGTGACTGAGAATGTCAATGGATGTAGTCAGACCATCTGCAAGAGGAGTATGTCCACCACTACTCAGAGATGGACATTACAGCAGATTTGCACTGCATGAACTCCTCAGTTCAAAGACATATATTCATTTGAAAGTTCAGTGGTGCAAAACCC